TGACCCCTTTGGCAAAATACAAATTTTAGGCTTTTTTAAAATCAATTTTTCTACTTCTCAAATTCATGCCCTTTTTGTTTCAAAACATTGAACAACTCTTTTTATTGCTCTATTTTGCGTTAAAACAAAACAAGGAAAAAGTTTTAATTTTTTGACAAAACCATGGACTAACCCCTTTAGAAAAATGCAAAGTTTAGGCTTTTTTAAATCGATTTTGTTTACTACTGAAATTGAGCTTCTTTTTACTTAAAACATTAAAAATTCTTGAATTCCCCGCTCCCAAAAACTGACAACCAGAAATGCGGTGCGGGATAAGCAGACAATTCTTAGCCCATTTATTGAACTAACGAACTAATCACAAAAAAAAACAATTGTTTACACTGTTTAGACACCCAAAAACAAAATCAAACAAACTGTATACGTTTGATCCGGCCATAGTAAATTGAATAAACAAACCCACTTATAATAACTGTCAATCATCAGGAAAACGCAAATTAAATCGTTACGAGGAAATGGTTTGCAGGATTTCAATCAAAATAAAAAAAGGACAAAATTTAACTGTCCGCTTGTAAAAATCCAAAATGAAACTGCGAATATATACTTGCTACTTTACATATCACACTTTCTTCTCATAATCTCATGCCGGCACTTAAAACACACTGCCGACAAATGCACCCGTGCTTCGAAATTTAAGAAACCATTTATCTTTTGTTTCATTACGCTTCGCTGCATTCAGGCAAAGATAAATGAAGAAACACTTTTTATTGCTTTATTTTGCATTAAAACAAAAGATGGAAAAAGGCCCAATTTTTTTAATAAAACCTTGGTCTAACCCCTTTGGAAAAGTGCAAACTTTGGGGCCTGTTTTATATCGGTGTTTTTTAAAGTCAAATTAAGGCTCTTTTTGCGTTAGAACTTTTTAGAACTCTTTTTATTGATCCATTTTACATTAAAACAATAGACGGAAAAATTTTTAATTTTTTGACAAAAACCATGGTCTAAGCTCCCTTTGGAAAAATGCAAACTTTGGGTTTTTTTAATCGATGTTTTTATTGTCTAAAAAGACTTCCATTCTTTCTGGAACTTCACCAAACACTTTCTATTGATCCAATTTGCAATAAAAGAAAAGTTAAAAAAATTCTTAATTTTTAGACAACAACCATGGTCTAACCCTAAACCTGGGCCTTTTTAAAATCGATGTTTTTTATAGTCAAAAAAGGGTTCTTGTTGTTCTGAAACTGCAGCAATCGGCTTTTCTTGTGCCATTTGCATTAAAACAAAAGATGGAAAAAGACTTAATTTTTTGACAATAATCATGGACTAACCCTTTTGGAATAACGTAAATATTAGGCCTTTTTTAAATCGATTTTTTTACTACTCAAATTCAGCTTCTTTTTAATTAAAACATTACAAAAGACTTTTTATTGCTCTATTTTGCATTACAACAAAAGATGGAAGAAGACTTCGACAAAAACCATGGACTAACTCCTTAATTTTTTGACCCAAACCATGGACTTACCTTATTGAGAAAATGCAATTTAAGCCTATTTTAAATCGACGTTTTTTAAAGTCAAATAGGGCTACTTTTCGTTCTAGATTTCACCAAAACCTTTTTCTTGATCTATTTTGCACTAAAACAAAAGGTGGAGAAAGTCTAAATTATTTAGACAGAAACCATGGACTAGCCCCTTCGGAATTATGCAAATTTGGGGCCTTCTTGAAATGGGTGTTTTTGTAGTCTAAAAAGGCTTCTTTTCTTTCCTGAACTTCACACTTTTTAGTCATGCATTTTGCATTAAAACAAAGATGGAAAAATCTGAATTGTTTGACAAAAACCATGGATAAACCCCTTTAAAAAATGCAAATTTTGGGCCTTTCCTTAATCGATGTTTTTTTATAGTCAAATAAGGTTTGTTTTCGTTCTAGAACTTCACGAATCCCTTTTTTCTTTATCCACTTTGTGTTAAAAAAAAAAGATGGAAAAAGTCTATTTTTTTTAATTGATATTTTCATAGACTAAAATTGCTACTTTTCTTCCTAAAACTTCACCAAACACTTTTTCCTGATCCAATTCGAATAACAAAATACATGGAAAAAGTCTTAATTCTTGGCAATAACGATGTTCTGACCAGTTTGAAAAATTGTGAATTTTTGGGCTTTTATAAATCAAGGTTTTTATAGGCTAAATTCGCTTCTTATTTTCTACAACTTGACCAAACACTTTCTTTTTATCCATTTTGCATTAAAACAAAAGATGGACAAATCTGCATTTTTAGACAAAATCTACGGACTTACCCCTTTGGAAGAAATGCGAAGTTTTGACCTTTTTTAAATTGACGTTTTTATATATGAGACTTCCTTTTTTTCCAGAACTTCACCAAACACTTTTATTGATCCATTTTGCACTAAAACAAAAGATGGAAAAATCTGAATTTTTGACAAAATCCTTTTTTGAGAAATGCCAGTTTTAGGTCTTTATTGTTAATGTTTTTATTGTCTACAAAGGCTATTCTTGTTTCTAGAACTTCACCGACTTTTTCTTAACCCACGTTGCATTAAAAGAAAAGATGGAAAAAGTCTAATTTTTTTTACAAAAGCCTGGTGGAATAACCCCTTTGAAAAATGCAAATATTGGGCCCTTTAAATCGATGTTTTAAAAATCTAGAAAGGTTTCTTTTCTATCTATAAATTCACCAAAGACCCTTTCTTGATCCATTTTGCATTAAAACAAAAAGTTAAAAAATTTACTTTTTTTGAAATAAACCATGGACTTGTCCATTTCGAAAAATGAAAAGTTTCGAGTTTTTTAATTGATGTTTTTATAGTCTAAAAAGGCTTCCTTTTTTCTAGAACTTTACAAAACACTTTTTATAGATCCATTTTGCATTAAAGGGACAGGTTCACGGTCAATCGCATGCTTATTAATTAGATTACTTTTTTCCAGTTTATTACTTATTCTATCGGTTAACTTACATGTATCTCAGCGATCTCAGAGTGTATTTCAAAGTAGAAGTGTATTTCAGAGTAACCTTAAGTAGGATGGAGGAGTACTAAAATCGCAGAAGAAATCAGCGGATTATGCCAACACTACCAACGTTAAATTTATTGTTGACCCGAAGGTTTTATTCCATTTTTGATTAATTTACAGCTATTTTCAAATATTTAAATTGATAAAGTGCAAGTGACTTCCAGGGGTGTGCAGATTGGTTCTTTGACAACATTAGGACATGATCATATTGCTTGCATAGACGATACAGCCTGTCCCGGCAGAAAACAGCATTTTGATAAATGAGCACGCGCTGAATCGTGAACCTGTCCCTTAAAACCAAAAGACGGAAAAAGTAACAATTTTTGACAAAAACTATGCTCTGACCCCTTTGGAAAAATTCAGATTTTGAGGCTTTTTAATTCTTCTTTTTTTATAATCTAAAAAGGCTTCTTTTCTTTTTAGAACTTTACCAAACACTTTTTCTCGATCCACGTTAAGACAAAAGAAGAAAAACTTTGAATTGTTTTTACCCAAACCATGAACTAACCCTTTTTTTGAAAAATCCAAATGTGCCTTTTTTATATTCGTGCAAAGAAGTCATCTTTTCCTTTAAGACCATCACCAAACACTTTTTCTTGATCCATTTTGCATTAAAACAAAAGCTGGAAAAAAGTCACAATTTCTGACAAAAACCATAGACTAACCCCTTTAAAAAATGCCAATTTTGGGGTTTTTTATTCCATGTTTTTTAGGCTAAAAAGACTTGTCAATGTAGATCTTCACCAAACACTCTTTCTTGATCCATTTTGCATTAAAACAAAAGATGGAAAAAGTATCAATTACTTGACCAAAGAATGGACTAACCCCGTTGGAAAACTGCAAATTTTGGGCGTTTTAAGTCGATGTGTTTATGGTCTAAAAAGGCTTCTTTTCTTTCTAGAACTTCACCAGGCCTTTGTCTTGATCTATTTTTCATTAAAACAAAACATAGAAAAGGTCTCATTTTTTTTGAAAAAATACCATGGACTAACCTCTTTTGAAAGTTGCAAATTTTGTCCCTTTTTTAATCGATGTTTTTATATTCTAAAAAGGCTTTTTTTGTGAATTCACCTGCCAAAATATTGACCTGTTTGAGACTAGATTGGTCCTGGGGCGTGATCAGAAGCCTAACTAAAAAAAGCAAGTTCTTGAAAACTAATTTTCGAACGGTTTTTGTCGTCAGTCAAACACATGGCAAGAAACTTAAATCTAAATTTTTACTGGTAGTAGACTATGGGTCTAAACTGGTTAATTTTATTTGCGCCAGAACAAACGCAATTAATCTGGGAATCCCTTACCTTACGTCACTAAGCCTTTCTTCCCCTACCCCGAAAGTCTGTACGGACGGACAGTGTACGCAAACGTTTTAACCAAATTTGCTTTCATAAATAGGTTTCCATTTTCTATAGCAATGGATTCTCCCCTGCTCGCGCGCGGACGTTCCGCTACTACTGGAAAGTCAGCACAATAATTCGATACGTTTTCAAAACTCTGTTTACATGTCGTACAATCTCTAGTTTTTAAAAAATAATTATGTTTCTCATTGTTCTAAATATGCACCCGCCAATAATGCAGTTTTTGAATCACGCTTGAAAACATATTCGTTTACTGCATAACGCAGTCTATTCGTAAAACATATTATTATGCTTATGGACAAAAATTTTAGCCTAGAAGACTGTGACATACTTTGCCGAAAGTTATGTTAACAGTTTTCTCATGATAAAGAGAAAATCCCTTGTATTCAAAAGTATTCTTCCTCGTATTCGGAGAAGCATTGACTGGTAGGGAAATTTATTTTTATTCGAAAAGTGTCATAATCATTTTGTAATTGGTTGTGGCTAGTCACATTGAAAACCCTACTGCTTGCTCGTCTTTAGCAAATACGAGGCAACCTGGAGTGATTATTGAACTATGGCAAGGAATTGATGGCTACTTAATAAAAAAACTCTTGCAAGATCCTCGTTTTCCTGACATGCCGACAAAGGTTTTTCACTCGCCCGTGTTTCGGCAACCACGTAATTGGGGAAATACCTATGGAACCCGAATCAGAGGCTACTTTGTGCCACAGAAGACGGGATTACACATATTTTTTATAGGTAAGAAGACTAGACACGCACACTGTATTTGATTCTTATTTTTTCTGCATGGACCTTATTTTGGTTAACTCAAGGAAATAATTTTGCTACGGACGGAGTTTTGAAGTGCTAATCTGAGTTTCCTTACGGTTAGAGGATACTTTTTTACTTCAAAAGTGGACCATAAGTGTCGTATTCAAATTGTTTTAGAGACTAAAAAAGTAGCTAGTAGATTCTTCGCACGTCCGTGGTTTGCAAAAATGGTGTTTTACTTCTTTGCATGATTAATGCCTGTCTCCCGCATTTAAGATTTTCAATAACACTGATGAAAATTTTTAACGGGAGAGAGGGGAGAGATAAAAGTACTTTTCCTCAGAGGATGTTGATTTGGTGTTAAGCGGGCTATAAATTACTACAAAGGCGTTTATTTTTTCACTCCTTCCTGTTAAGTTACAAAGCGCCCAAGTGAGTACTTTAAATTATGCTGAAACAATGTTTTGCTCCTTATTTTTTCAGCATGCGACGATGCATGTCAGCTCTTCCTCAGCATCACAGATAACCCAGACCGAAAGATATTAATATGTCGGGTTCAAAAAGGCCACGAGACTCAATACATGCAATTCACATCGTAAGAATTCTGATGCCATTTCCACTCGTATCAAAGTAAAACGACCATGGGTAAAACCCTTTGGAAAAATCGAATTTCGCGAATATATAAGATCTATAATTGGAATATCTTGAACATCACCGAACTTGTTTTCAAAGCCTTAGTTACTTAAGAATAGAGAATGAAGAACGAATTTTAAATTTTTGGCAAATATCATGGGTTAACCCTTTTGAAAAAACTCCAATTTCGCAAATGTAAGGGTTCTATATTTTTAAAGTCTAATTCCATCTAGACCATCACCAAAAAGCGGTTAAAGGGGTAAAAGGGGTTAGAAGCATGGGTTAACCCCTTGGGAAAAATCCAATGTCTCTAATAAATAATATCCATAACTATATGGTCTAAAAAGGTTTATTTACTATTTACAACGTCACCAAATATTTTAAGGGCCTAATTGACACGAAAATGAAGAAAAAAAATTAAACTTTTTGTTTAAATCTTGGGTTTATCCCTTGAAAAAATTTGTTTTCGCGAATACATAAGTTCTATATAATTTATAGTCAAAAAGATTTTGTTTTCATGATTTCTGGAAAATCACCAAACAGTTTTTCAATACCTAATTTACTCAAAAATAGAGCATGTAGATATTTATATTTTTTGCCAAAATCATGAGTTTCATTGGTAAAATCTAATTTCGCGAATATCTCAAATCTATATTTTTATAGTCTAAAAAGCTTTGTTTTCTATCTAGAAGATCACCAAAAACATTTAATTTTCCTAACTTACTCTAAACTAGAGAATGTAGATTTTTGTAAAAAAAGATTTTGCCCAAAATTAAGTGTTAACCCTTTTGAAAAATTCAAACTTTGCAAATATATCAGATCCATATTTTCATATTGCAAAAAGCCTTGTTTTCTATCTAGAATACCATTATATTAAAAATGTTTTACAAGCGCTAATTTATTTAGAATAGAGAATGACGAAATTTTTTGGCCAATGGGTAACCGCTTACGAGAAATGCAGTTTCTCGAATATATAGATCTTTATTTTCATTTCATCTAGAACATCTCCAAACATTTCTCCAAGGCCTATTTTGCCAAAAAATAAAGAATGAAAAAAAAATAACGTTTCAATTTGTGGCCAAAATCATTCCCTATTGGAATTACGTCTAAACTCCTCGCCATCGAGAATCATGCGATTACAGAACTGTCGGTCATTAGTATAGGTAATAGCATGATTAGTAACGATATTTGGAATAAATACCACGAGTGAAATTTCGAAATTGTCTTATGTAATTTCACGAGCCGTTAGGCGAGTGAAATTTGAGACAATGTTGAAATATCACTAGTGGTATTTATGCCAAATATCACGTACAAATCATGCTATTATTTGTTTATAGTACTACCCGCAAAAGGTTTGTAATTTTCACATGTAGGTATTTCAAATTAAGCTGAAATACCACTGCTCTAAGCCAATCAAATTTCTCATGAAGTAGTATAACGCTTTAAATACACTGTAACCTGCACTATAGTAATTTTTATTCAGCCATGAGAAGTTGATCAAGGTGACAAAGTAATTTTATTTGATCATCTTAGTTACCAAGAACAGCAATCTGACCCTATACCACTAAGAAAAGGTTCGTATTACTACATCGAGGCGCTTTACAAGGAGCAGTATGGCAGCGACCACATTGAGGTAGCTGTTCAGACGCCCGATAACAAAACCTATGCACCGATCCCCTCCCAGTTTCTGTGGACACTTGCGCCCTCTAAGAAACAAGGTATGGATGCCATTTTTTTCTAATGAGTCGAGTTGTTAGGAGCTCTAAGCTATACTAGAAAGGAGAGGATAATTATACAAATGCCTGCCCCAACCACAACTTCCATAATATTACAGAACTCTCATTCTAGCAAAAGCTATCATTACTTGTGGCAGTCTGAAACTTCTCCCTAAAACGAACATTCATACAATTCACAACGTACAAAGCCACAATAACAATTCATTAGGGTAATTGTGACAGCTTTGCATAAACATTGCACGAGTCGTTGTTCTATTGGTATGCGGGACAAACATGAAGTTGTGACATGCAAGATATTTTACATTATACCTTAAAATCGTCGGCATTCTTTTGACATTTTCGGTAATCGTATTGGAAACGTTTCTGCAAACTATGAATAGTCAAGAATGAATGTTTTTAGAATCTTCAGAAAATTGTCGGTTCAATTTTCAGCTGATTCATTCCAATTGTTGGACTTACCCAGGAGATATCGTCAAACATCTATTCTGTTTTACAGCTAAAGGAAGCGTGCTTCTTCTTATGAAGATTGCAGCAAAGGCAGGCGCGAAAGCGGGAGCCTCCCTTGGCATAGCCGAAGCTCATAAAAGTGGGGCAAATGCAGGAGCCAAGGCTGGGTATTCAGCAGGTGCAAAGGCGGGAGCAGAGGCTGGGGTTAAAGCAGCAACTGATGCAGCTACTAAAGTGGCCACCCAAACACTAAAAATCGCTCTGGCAAAACTTGGACTACCGAAACCAGTAAGTTTTAACAATTCTTGGTGAAACTTAAGCTTTTAGAAGAGGAAGGGGCATTAGCTTATCAGCATCACGTGACCGCAATGCAAGCTTAGATGTACTTCAACTCCAAAGCCACGTGTTTTTGTCGTTGCCTGCTCATTGGAGAAAGGGGACAATTGTTACACTTTTGCTGTGAGGTATTAGTTTGCTTCGCATGGTTTTTAAAAGGCTTATGTTAGCCTTTTGTTTCGTTCAAGTAGAGGGTAGTATTTAAAAGACGCTCCGTTTTCAGATTATTTCTAAACATATTTGCCATCAACAATTTGCATGGTCATTGTGAAAATTGTTTGGTTTTCTGGCTTCTCGATACCCTGAGGAATATTTTCAATATATAGATTTAGCCAGGGCTAAACGACGCCTCCGTTTATACTTATAATAAAAGCAATTAACATAAATTCTAAGGCACTAAAAAGAAATCTTTAAATCCCTACTTAATTAACTTTAGGAGCATTCGGCATCAGATTACCTTTAGAGGGAGGAGTAAATGGTTAACAAAGCATATCCCGCGAACACACCTGAAATGAAAAAATTTTCCCAGCAAGTTAATAGTCGCATATTTACAGCTAAAAAACATTAAACGTCTACTGGTCGATCACTGCACTGTACCTAGAAGTCTTCCAAAATTTCGTATGCATCCGTTCGAACCCCCTACCAAACCCTTTTGTGAATTCGAAGTTATAGGTCTCTTCTGTAGCAGCATTTTACAAGTGACGATTTCTAGGGTCAGTATTTCTGTCTTTAAGGAAAGACCTAAAAAAAAAATCAGGCTGACTTTTGTGTTCCCTTAAGCTAATTCTGTGTTTTCTTATCGGCCCCTGGACGAACAGTTACGTGCGGCCCTTATATTTATACCTCTCATGCAATACCTGATAGAAAATTTCCCGTAAGGTGTTTATTTTCTTTGAGGACAGACTAGGAAAGAAAATTTAACAATAGCCTTTCACTAATAACTCAATAATTGTTTAACTTACACAAACTGTGCAGTACGTGTTCAAGTGCCGTGCATCAAAATACAAACTCGGGCTCACAAAGCCAACGAGTCTGTCGTTAGAAGAAAGGAGAACTCTTTCATATTTTAGATACTGTTTTTCAGGTAGGATAGAAAGTGTAAACATACGTAACAAACTTCATTCAAGCGGTATTCAGGGCACGAGCTGTTATGGAAAAAGGGAGGACACTGAAAAATTCTTCAGTGGCAAGTAATGATTAAGAACAGGAATAAGAATTCAATTGAACATGTAAAACTTACAACAACACTTCAGTTTTATTCAAGAAAGGCGAGAAGCTCGTCTAAATTTCAAGATCTGTTGTCTCCCGATCCTGTCTTCAGCTAATGTTATGAATGAACAATAGACAGATAAATTACTTTTTGAAAATGTTTATTCGAAAACCCATAAGTTAATCCTTAAAAGCAATTCGCGTAACACTAACGTTCACGAAAGGAAAATCGGCTGCAAAATTTAACATAAAGTAATTTTCAGATCGGAGCTGGCACATTTTGTACTTTTTCTTTCACGCCGATGTCAAAATGTACAAAACGTTTGTCAAACGCCAATAATACATAATTTTTCATTTAAAAACGTACTTTCCTTGACCATAGAGTACAGAATGACCTGAAATTTCTTCAAGAACTTCGCTGCCTTGGTTGTCTCAAAACAAGCCAAGCGCTTCGCCGTTAAGCTTGCGAAACCTTTCGTTTGTCCACAAAAAATAAGCCGAGCATTCTTTTGAACTTTTCCTTTCCATTTGTGTCTTTTGTCGGTGTATTTTCAACTTTGAATGCAACACTTTGGTCTTGAAAACCACAGCATGGTTAAGGCGCCCAAGCCAATTTATTGAAAAAGGATGTTGTTCACTTTTTAAACAATAGAGGACAAAAAACTCTCTTGAAGGGGGAGAGGAATTCGTATAAACTTAGTCCCTCCCTGAAAGAACATACGGACGTAGTGACGTTATAACCAAATTTTCCTGCATTAATAGTTTCTAATTTCCATACCATTGGAGGCTCCGCCGCGCGCGCCCGCTACAATATAATAGCGAAACCTCAATTGCTATATAATAGAAGATGGAAATCTATCGATGCGAAAAAAGTCGGTTATGACGTCATCCTACGCCTACCCGTCCGCTTGTACGGACCGGGCAGGGAAGGACTAAGTAGATTCTGCAAGGGAGGAGACGGGGAATCCAAGAAATGTAGCTTGCGTTTGTCTTGGCGAAACGAAAACCAGTCAACCTAGAGGCAGCCAATGTAGTGTATCCAGTAAAGATATTGAATTTCGTTTGTTTGACGACAAACAACTTGAAACGTTGACAAATATGGTTTTAAGGTTGTGCCTTTAAACACTGATGACTGTTACATTCCGGGCCCGATAGAAGAAAACTCAAAAGTCAGCACAATTTTTCTTTCAGGTCTTTCCTATTTATTAGGGAGCTTAAGCAACGACGACGGCCACGGCAACGAGAACGTCGAAAGAGCAATAACGTTATTAAGAAACACAACTACTTTGCACGTGCATCAAGCTTTTTTGTACATTTTTTGTCGTCACTGCACGACTCGCGTGAAATGCCTAATTGCACGTTTTTTGGAGGACGTAAACAAGCGGCAGCGAATTTTCTTTCTCTCTCTTAACTTGAGAGCGGTCCAGGCCAATCAACTCCTGGAAAATTCCCCTACATTTGACGTTTTCAGCGAATTGGAATAAATGTGAATTCATCGCCATTGTCGATGCTAATTAAAGCTCCATAACGACTCTAGAGATCGTATCCTGTAAATTGGCTGCTACCAAAGAGTATCCTGCATTAAAAAAATTTTTTTGTTGTTGTTCAACGTAAGACTCTTATCTTACTGGTAGAGTTTTCATTTCAGGTGTGTTTGCGGGATAATTTTTCTTAATCACCCAGCCCCTCCCTCAAAAGGAGGATTCTTTTCAGTGGCTTAGAGTTATAAGTTAATTGCTTTATTATAAGTATATAAACGGAGGCTTCGCTTTTAGCCCTGGCTAAATCTATATATTTAACCGGAGATTGTCTTCAGTCTCCGCTTTACAAAAAAAAATACACGTCCATACGTAACCTATTCGAATCGTTTTCGCCTGTCTACACGAAAACGCTGGATGGAAATACGATAGCATATCCTTTACGGATCGTGCATAATGCCAGTCGAATATGATGTATGATATCATCGTATTCGAAAACCTTCGTTTTCGTCCATCCATACGAAAACGATAAGCCGGCGTTTTCAAGCGTTTTTGGAAAGGTGCGTTTTCAGTGACCATTTTCACCGGATACGTGTGGACGGTAGGCTAAACCCGAAAAAAATCTCCCTTTAAAAAAAAAACCTTCACGTGTAGACGGGTCCTGAGAGGAATCATGACTATCGTTAATGCAATGATTCATGCAGGTTTTTAACATATACGCGGCAAATGGCACGGTGATCTCATATCGACCCGGAGCACCTTCCCAAGTACATGAGGTTGTCAACGGCAGTGTGATTTCACATCCGCTGGGGGCAGGAGGTGCCGCTGGAGCAATAACAGGCACTGGTTTTGGTCAAGCAACATCACAAGTTTCCGGTAATGCCACAGCAGAAGGCCAAGCAAGTGTTTCTGCAATTACCTCTCTTACGCAGAATGGTACAGAAAGGTACAGATTCCTTTCTTTTAATCTTCAACATGGTCATGCAAAGCTTTTTTGTTATTTAGTTGTTGGCTGCGGTTAGACAAAACGATCAAATAACTACCATACCTAAGCATTTTTAACTTGACACAAACAGTTGCATCAAATAACAAAAACTTCATTGAAAATTTATGTAAAATAAAAACCATTATGAGGAGCCAGGAGCCCATAATCCAGAGCGAGCAACTCCCATACTAGGCCTATGTCACGGCGTTTTTACAGACCGGTTTATTTTTAGACACATTTTAGGGCAATTTTTCCCGCGAAGATGGAATCTCCACCACGTCTATAAACACATTCGAAGTATAAGATATCAAAACGTCATTAAAAGGCAAAAATTATCATTTTTAGGTCTGTAGGTTTTGCTGACTGGTTTGTTCGACTTAAAAGATATTCGAAATTGGCGCCAAAACCGTTCTAAAAATAAACTGGTCTGTGAAAACGCCGTGACACGAGTGCATGGAAGTTGCTCGCTCCAGGTTATGGGCTCCTGGAGGAGCCAAATATTTACAGTTCTTAAAAACCTTCAAGCTGTAAAGCAATTTCCGTCACATCAATTCCTCTGCGTTGTCAAAGGAACAATGCCAGCCGCAAAATGTAGCCCCCGGGGTCAATTCAATAAAACGTTTACACTTGTAATTTACAAGTGTAGCCATGGTTCAAGAGTCTGAAAACAATAGCTACTCTTGTAAAAGTTGTATTAAATTGACCCGAGGTCAACAACAGCAATACCATTGTAAATGTCATTACTGACTTACTGTGGGCGACAAGAGGAGCCCGCAATCTTAATCTCAGGTTGTTATTACGCATGGGCCGCATGTATGTAGCCAGCATTCGTTTGGACTCCTCGTAATCTGATCTGCGCGTGCTTTAACCTTCTGTCAAGTGAAACGTAGGCAAAGCACATGCAGCGATGGAGCAAGACTAGCGAGTGAGCGTTGGACCTGCGATTGTTGTCGCCCGCACTCCCTAACCTTTGGTTATTACTAGTTATAAGATCTGACGCTGGTATTTCAATCGATCAGTCATATTGAAGTTGCCTTTTGTGATTGTCACTTAGTGCCACCACCAGCGTATTACAAGGGGCGTTTGTATACAATGCAGCGAAACCCTACTTCATATTCCCGAACACGTCTCCTGGCGTATATATCATAGCGACACATAAAAAGTTTATAGAGCGTCACGGATTCGCTCGAGTGCGTAAGTATTCAAAAGCAAATCAACTTATAGTGAAGTCGAAGTATATTGTGCCAACTACTTCCTATCTTCTTTTACAACCCCTCGACAAAGTCAAATTACGAATTCCTTCACCAGTGGCCGACCTAAGGGAGGGGCTCGGGGGGCCTGTCCCCCCCCTTATTTTTAGACCAAACTAAGGTCCGAAGGGCCGAAAAAATGTTTCTTTAACCCCCCTTTTCTCAAGGTCTGGGTGCGTCACTGTGTACAGTCTATATTCCTTTACTCGAGTCTTTGCTTTTACATGACTGCAACATTTGAAGCTTAACGGGTATTTTTAGGAGGTATATATTTTTCCGTTTTTACCGTAGTTGTACACGGTGGTTTGTACGTGATCCATTCTTTAGACTCCCCTGCCTATCAGAACCCACGTGAAAATCTTTGCTGGCGAATCACTAATGGAAAACTGGAGTTAGCACGTCGCTGTCAGGTAACTATTAAGAATTCAAAAAAGGCCATTTCCCAGTTGCAAAATCTTTCACTTTAAATAGCGAGGCTAAGTGCACAAGTGTTTGTCGGTGAAAATGAGTTCTATTTGCGTGAGAATAGAACATCATTTCGCACTTAGCCTCGCTTTGAAACAAGTCTGAGGCAACTCAGAAGTGGCCTATTGCTTTACTACGAAAGTAATGAGCAAATGTGACTTCACAAAAAGAACTGAACTGAATAGCAACTGCCCGATGATACATTGAAACAGCCATTGTCAATTCTGTCAATTTTCTTAATTCACATGGTACTTTTGTTTTACTTTATTAATGGAATATTCCATTATTAAAATATTTACTCCTTTCTTTCTTTTTTTTTAGGTTTTTGCAGCCCATATTCCGGGATTCAGGAAGGGTAACGAAGAATATCAAACCATATCGTTCGAGTCAATGTGTTCCCCTGGTAACTATATTCGACAAAAGAACTACAGATTTGTCTTGAGTAGAACGGGAGATCAGATATTCAGTAAGTTTGAAATAGAACATTTCCAGGGGCTTTTAATTTCCTGTTTGGAATGTAAAAATTCCAAAACAGGTTGAACCTGTAGCTTTGAAAAAAAAAATTCAGAAAAGAAACCTTTTATGATCATTTTTTGTTTTTGCCTTTTTTAAATTGTTCTCCCTTAATTCCCTCCTTCTCCTCCCCTCCTTCTCCTTCCCCCTCCTCCTCCTCCATCTCCAGCTCCTCCTTCCTTCTCCTCCTCCTCCCCACCTCAAGTTCCAGCTCCTCCTCCTCCTCCACCCCCTTCAGATCTTCCTTGTGTTTATTTTTTACCTCCTCTTCCTCCTCTTCATTTCTTGTTGACTAACTTTTTATTGTTCTCCCACTTCCTTGTCGTTCTCCTCCTCCTTCTCCTCCTACTTTCCTCCTACTTTCCTCCTTCTTTCCTCCTTCTTTGACCATTGACCTTTCCAATTTTTATTTCTTCCTGGAAATTCTGCTGAAAAACGCCCGAGTCTCTTTGCAACCCCAGTAATTTGATAATACTAGGACAGCTTTCTCTATTTTCTTGTGCGGCATCAGCACTTACGTGAGGACCTTGATAGAAGCTGATCGCAGAAAATTATTTGAATGCAGCTTTAATTACATACATTTATGTCATCAACAGTCCTATTCAGGACTACCCTCACCCGGACAATCATTTCCATCTACTTATGACATGACTCCTGGGTTCAAACCATTTACTACTTTACATAAATTAATACACTGTACCTTATTAATTTTTAGAGAAGGATGCCAGTGCAGTTTTTAATCAGGTATTTTCGTTGCCTGAAGCATTTCAATTTAGCCTCTTGAGAAAAGGCTGGTACATTTGCAGAAGCAGGGACAAACATTACCACCGAATTCAAATTGTGACAGACTTCCACATGTCTCCCCTGATTTGGCTGAGACGTTGCTCATTTGTCCTAAGACCCATCACTGAAAAGGAGAACCCCTTAATGAACTGTTTCAAATTGCTCACTACAAAGCCCCCGGTGACCGTTACAAAGCCTGCTAAACCAACCACCCGGGCAACAACTGGCACAACTCCCCACCATCCTGAAGGTACAATTGAATATTTTCATATCATTCACATGTTTCATATCACTCGTAGTTTTTATGCCAATGAAGAGCCCATAACTTGCAGCGAGCAACTCCCATACTAGGCGTAGGTCTGTCACGGCGTTTTCACGGACCCCTTAATTTTTAGATGCATTTCAGAGCACCATTTTTCGGGAAAATGGAAGCCCACTTCTTCTATGAGAAGACGTACAGAGGAAAGGAAAACTCAGCGTCATTAAAAAGTCAAAAATACCATTTGAGGTCTATGAATTCTACTTACTCGCTTATTCTAAATTGCGCGGAAATCGTGGAAAGGCCTGCCCAATAAGATCAGGGCAAATAACAACTTAGCCGCCTTCAAGGAGGGGCTTAAAAAAGTGATAAATCAAATGCAATTCAGTCGGAGATCCAGACCTTCAGATAAGGGGGGTGTCCGGTCATCCAGACCCTGACAAAAGCGGGAGGCCCGGTCTCCAAAAAAAAATTTTTTTGGCTCTTCGGGCCTCAGTTTGGTCTAAAATTAAGGGGGGAGGCCCGAGCCAGGCCCCTCCCCTAAATCTGCCACTGCAATTATTGTAAACTGAAACATTGTAAATAGTCAGAACTGTAGCTAGAAACCTGTAAATAGTAAAATGCAATGATTTCATGCAAAGTCGGCCGAGTAAATGTTTTTAGTCTCTTTTCGTTACTACTATTCAGTTTGAGTTATATTATACACGACCACGACACATCAGCTACGCTGTTTAAATGAAAGATAATCTTGTCGTTCTAAAAATAAACTTGTCGGCGAAAACGCTCTGAAATAAAGGCATTGACTACTGGTCAACTTGTTTGTTTAGGACTTCGTATAGTTTTTTTTTTTTTGGAATGATAAGATTACTTCGTCTTGTAATTAAACTGTAATACAGTTAAAGGCATATCCATTAACGTTTTCCCAACTTAAAATTTATAAAGGAATTCTATATCAATTGTCAGACGCACAAAAAGCCAACGTTGACATATTATAAAAACATTTTCAGGCCTCAACAATTATCCATTATTTTTGGTCCTGCAAAGTCCATAAGTTTATAGTGGGTACAAGTGTGTTTCTCTGATTTCAAGTTCGATCCTTTGATACCTAGGCCCTTGTGTGAATATACGTTTTCACAACACTGCTGGTGTGCCCTTCGTGTTGCATTCCAGTCTTAAGCCGGAGGGATATTTGGTCACAGGACAAATGTTAGAGCTTCATTACGTAATAAAAAACAATCAAGTGACAACGCAGGTCGCTAATGACGATTCTGAGCGACAAATGCAGCTTCCGGTAAGAACACGCATGATTCTACCCACTAAGACGATCTCTTAAACTTGGCTAATCGATCCAGATAGAACTTCAGCTATCTGGAGTATCCGGGATGTTCAGGCACGCTCTAAAGCAGGCTCCAAAGAATTTTCTATTTTGTCTGGCTTATGTGCTATGAACCAATTCTTGTACAGTGATTGCGGCGTTTATTTTCACTTTCTCTGAGTATACTCTTTGTATGCATTACTGTTGTCAGCTTATGTAGGCAAGTTAGAATATAATGTTGTAGTTAATTTTTTATCTCAGGTAATTTTTGTTTTTCTTTTGTGTCATGGCGATCAACTTCTTTAGCATACATTACAATGCCCAAAAACAAAAGAAAAACAAAAATTACCAGAGGTAAAAAATTAACTGCAATATATATACACAGTGAAAGCGCTGTTGGAATAAAATATCTTCATCTTTAAATATCTTTTAACTTTCTTTTAGAATTTGGACGTTTTAGTAACTAAATGCTGATTTTTCCAATTTTCGTAAGGTAGATCGTATTTTGAGATACGAAACACTTGAGAAGTTTAGAGAGCACTCAAGTAAAGTCAGAATATAATGGCCCATCTCGGTGCCCAAGGAGATTGGTGAAGTTGAAGATGACTCAATTTGTTCTAAAAATAGCAAATTTCATTATTTCGATGGAATCACGTAGACCCATCGCTTGCGGTCTCCTGTCCCGATGAAGGCTCCTGGTATGAACTGTAAACTCTTTTTATGGTTTCCACTTCGCAGTTACTGATTTTTTTCTATTCACAATTTTGTTTTAGTATACGGATGAATTGCCAGAGGTACAACAGCTTGACTTTCACGAAGCTGTTTCTAAACCATATGGAAAACACACAGTCGCTTTCTGGGCTACAGATCCAGCAGGAAAGTACAACATTCTCTTGGATGGAAAAAAGATATTATATGCTATTCCTGGTCTTGATTGTGATCACTTCATACAAGTTACCGTAACTTCCCACCCTAAAATAAGTATGTGCAGTCTCTTAGCCTCCCTTAAATCACAGGTTACCTTCACTAAAACATTGAACAGTAAAATCGAAAAATATCTTGCTCGAGTTTAGTTCCAAAGGGAATCAATGTTCAGCAAAGTCTGATGTGACAGGCATCCTGCAAATTATGACATATCAACTTTTTAGCCGACGACCCTGCTCTCCAAGAGCTGTTCCTTTAATATTTCTTCTGTTTTCATGTTCTAGGTACTTCAACTGCAAAGCCCACGACGCAGAAATTGGCATCAACAGTTAAGCCAACTCCAACATACCCACCTCCTCCTCCTCCTCTTCCGCCTTCACCACTTCTTCCTCCACCTCCCGCACCTCCTCCTCTTCCTCCCCCTCCCCCTCCTCCTTCTCTCATTCGCCCTTCCCCTCCCCCTCGTCCTCCCTCTCCCCCTCCTCCTTCTCTCCCTCGCCCTTCCCCTCCCCCTCTTCCTCCCCTCCCCTCCTCCACTTCCTCCCCCTCCCCTCCTCCTCCTCCCTCCTCCTCCTTCTCCTGCCCCTCCTCCTGCCCCTACTCCACCACATTTTCCCCGTCCTCCTCCTACTACTGTTTCTCCTCCCCACCCTCCTCTACTTCCGTTTCCTTTTATCCCTCCTCCTCCTCCTTTTCCTATTCCCATTCCTCCCTCTTTTACTACGACACCAAGACCCGCTCAAAGTCCCCCTCCCTCGTGCTTGCCACCAGGTAGACCTCATGAGCCGGGAGTTCCCCCTGCGTGCCAGATGCCTCCTCTACCGCCGATCAAGACACCAATACCGTCTGTTACCTTACCGACCATGCCTCCGTTGCGGAACTTCCCTTTGATAACAGGTGAATACTCATTCTACGGAGTGATTTTTCCCAAATCTATATCCGTCTTTCTGTATTCAAAAACGGATTTTGCTTTTTTGGCACTTTCAAAGACAGATCATGATCCATAAAACCCACTATCTCGTATAAATGAGGATGCAATTGCTTGGACTATTTCTACGTAATCGACGTCCTCGTCCTCATACTACCAATAATGGGCAGTTGCAGAAATTATAGTGAGATACACCGCATTAATATATTAAATAGTTGAACTCAGAAACTGAAAAGATAGGTTTTCGGTTGTCACTTAAATGTACAAACAGATTTACAATTACATAAATGTAAAGCAAGCAGTCTGTCATATCCCACGCCACTCTTCTGCCGTACGTAATTTATCAGAAAGGTTTCCCTCCTTATGAGTGTCTCCGTGTTTAAACGGGCTATTAATGTGCAGTTTTAAAACAGCCAGAGAGCTCTAGGTCCCTGGGGGTATCCCCTGTAATGGACCATGCGGGAAGGCTCTGCCCAAAAGTTCGGTTTTGTAAAACAACTAATTATAATGGCTGCATATTATAGCTGTGAAAAAGTCAACGAAACATCGTGGTTGAGTGATTTATTCATAATAAAAAGAGGGTACATTTGACGTCAGTCAAAAAGGATGCCGTGTTCTAGACTACGTATGTGAAAGGAGTATTATTTGGCAAAAGAAGGTACACAAAAGGGTAAGGGGTTTTCCTCGCTAGCGGGGCCTCTCTGGGCTTTACGTACAGTAACTCGCGACTTTCTACTGTTAATCCATACCTGTACATTACGTTTTACTTGCATTTTATTTCTTATTCTCTATTCTGGTTCTAGCTTTTGCTGGTTGTATGCTGACACATGGAGGAACATCACAAGGCGCCTGTTGTATGTTTCCGTTCATTTATGAGGGAGTTCCACAACACCGCTGCACAAGAGCTAAGCGCTCCTATCGCTGGTGCTCGATCACTGCTAACTATGACTCAGATAATGAGTGGGGATTCTGCCCAACTTGTTTTTTGAGTTACGGTGGTAACTCCAATGGTAATTGTTGTCATTTTCCTTTTATATACGGTCGGAAAATCTACATGACTTGTACAACTCAGGATGACACCAGGCCTTGGTGCGCCACTACCTACAACTATGACGGCGATAAACAATGGGGTTACTGCGGAGGTGAGTATGAGTATTCCAAAATATTCTATAACAGTTATTGTTTGGTTTTTGATTATTGCTAGCACGCATTATTTGGACAGTCCCTCCACAAATGCTATAAAATGTTTTGTCCCAGGCATAGATTATGATGAGACATGACACAGATTTTTTGAGGTGAAGTGGAACCCTTTGCAGAGGTTAAATAAGCGAGCAGTTTATGTCTGATTTGGACCCTGTTGGCGAACATTTACCTCAATGGTCAAATATTTTGTCTTATTTTTAGACGAAAAAATTAAATTTGTACGAGCGAGGTACGGAAATTTGCGTTTAAATTCTAGTTTTCCTTAATTATTAAAAAGTGAGTCAAGCAAGTAAGTCAAGTATGTTAAATACAATCACTTCTCAAGATAAACAAAAAGCTATATTTTCATTCACAACATAGGTGACGCCCCTGGCTCCATCCCTCAGCCAAAAATTGTATTTCCACCATGCACTTCTGACTGCGATAGTAAATGTGTTGACCACTGCCCAGACTACTGTTGCGTTAAGGGACTAGAGAGCAAGGAAAATAGACTGACAGAGCAAGTCAAAGAGGACCGTCCCATTACAGACCTTCCTACCGGAGGTTTTAATCCACCTCAAGCGCCACTGTACTGTCCAGACACCTGCTCACGTATTTGTTCCATCTCTTGTCCAGATGAATGTTGTGATAAGGACCCCAAAGACTGGACTGACACGACTTCACGTTATACAAACACTAAGCCGTGCCCGGCTCATAGTTGCAATTCTAGAGGATGCTCTGCCAGTTGTCCGTCACATTGCTGCCAAGCAGATAAAGCCTCTGATGCAGTTCAACTTGAAATTTTTGAACCATCTTCATCACAGACCGCCAGCCATCGTTCAGGGCTGTCTTGTCCTGCTTTGTGTTCTAAATCCTGCTTCGAGGGGTGTCCTGAACATTGTTGTCACAAAACGAACAAGAAACAAACAAAGAAGGTTCAGCATGGGAAAAATTTTGTTTATGGTAATTCAGTGTTGAGGCCAAAAAAGCCTGATTAATAGATTTAATTTTAAAATACTTTATTTTTTTTCCTGGGTTAGGGGCTGTGTCTATATCATAACAGTACAATTATGTGCAAATTTATAATTTTCACAAAATCTTCTCTTGTCACGTGTTCCCAAAGCACTCGACAGTAAGATGGTTTTACCCCTCTAGTCTATATTGTGATCAAAGCCCTCGTTTCAACCGAAGCTTATTTTTTTCATGTGCTACAGCACTATGGAGTTTCAAAGTTCCTTAATAAATATCATAATAATTTTACTGTCTTTCTAAGAAGGGAATAATCTTCCCCATATTAATTTAAACACAATATTTCTTTACTCCAAACAGAACACGAAAGTTAATTTTCAATGCACTTAGAGAAAAGATCTTGTCATTTTGTTTTAAAAAGCCTACCATAACAAACAAGCCACTCTAATACTTCTGTCCTATAAAGAAATTTACGCGGTCTTAGGGGCATGGGCTCCTGGCAGTGTGTCCGTGATAATGCGTTTTTCACCCCCTGTCAAGTTTTAGGTTGTAAAGATAGTGTTCCTACAATTGGTGGAAATGCCGATGGAGCTTGCTGTACATTCCCCTACATTTACAAGGGTGTGGCCTACTGGACATGCACAAATAAAAGTGCTTCAAAGGAATGGTGCTCTGTGACTGAAGTGTTTGAAATCGACAGAAAGTGGGGATACTGCGTTCCGTAAGTAAGCGGACTAGCCCTATGATATTGCGTTTTTCTTAGTTTTATCACGAATTGATGGTGAACTCGAAACTGGACTATTAACCCTTGAAGCTTCAATTTCCACATCCACAATATTCTCCAGACTGATTTCCATACAGACCTTGTATCATGTGACTTGGGCCATTTATTATTGTTATTATTATTAATTTTATTTATTTAGTCACTCACAAAACCTTATACAACATGAATAAAAGTTGTTAATTAAACGATAAAAATAATGTGACAAGGATAAAAAGATAACAGGTAACAGTTTCTCACAGAGGTACTGCGGTGCAATTCCACCCTGGATTTTTTTTTAACAAAAGTAGTTTTCGATCAATACAAATTTGATTGATTGGTAGCCACCAGAAGTTCCAGAAATAGAAGCAGTGTTCTTGCCAGAAACGGAGCATCTAGTATAATACGCGCACATCTTTTTCAGCTTTAAAAATCTCATCCAATAAGGCTACATTATTCAGCTTTTCCGAACAGACATCTTGATGATGTATAGATATTGTTATGAGAATATTGTTGTTGGTCACCCCTAGAACTGAAAGGTTTGATATATTAAAATGTGTAAGCAAGTCACAGTTTAGTCCCTCTCATTATCTTCATCACGTTTCTGAGTACAACCAATCACAGCAAACGAACATAGAATAAGACAAGGTACCACTCCGGTACTTAGCTTGTGAACAAGTAATAACGAGTCAGTGTTAATTTTTGATTTTGATTGGTGGAAAAAGTAACCATAGGTTTAAGCCGATCGCAAAGCGAAATGATGAGAAAGAAAACTTACAGTACCTGCAATCTACCAGTTTTCATACCTCATCTTGTCTTGCAAACCTAAGACAACTCTTTTTCTCTTTTTATTTATCTAGAGTGAACAGTCCGTCAATGGAAAACAGTGTCGGCTGAATACCGGTCCAAATAGGTGAAGGATGGGGAAGAAAAGCGCGGAACTTTTTGATGCCTGTCACCGCTTAATAATGTGTTTTCACATGACATCAAGGTGGCCATATTTGTGTCCCAAAACAATAAAACGGCGGTTATGTTTGTGTCCCAAACCAGTCCTGTGGGCGTTGAACTCTTTTCTTATGTAAACGCTTTCTTTTGTTCGAATAAATTTGCATAGATGCTGGCCACGTGAGTGAAAACACAGAATACGTTCCCCTTGGTTTCCACTGGAAATTCTCTATACAACCACCATGCGTGGCGTACAAGCACAAAAGAATAAAGCATTTGAGGAACTGTTTCTGTTTTTCATTTATCTTCCGATGAATTCGTCTGAAATGCGACGTAAAGTGAATTTTCTATGCAGCCACAACAACTTAGCAGAGTACAGCCACCATAAGTAGAGTACAGACACAGAAGAATTAAACATTTTGTCCAATTGTTAATTTTTCGTCCGATGAATTTGCCTGAAATGCGACGTATAGTAGACTGTTCTTGTATTCCAAACTGTCGATCAATCCCAAACAACATGGCATAGGGAAATTCAGAAGGAGGTTGTTTTGTGCTTCACTGGTGCTTTGTTTTCCCATTCACGAAGCAGAACATGTTTTTAAAATTTGCCTGGAAAAGCTTAGGTGGAACCTCGCTTTTCGTGTTAAACCTAAGGAGACTAGAGGTATATACCTTACATAGTTGAAAAGAAAAAAGACATTATAGCAGTGTTGCCCAAAGTATCAAAGCAATGCCGCTACGATTACATTGTAAACACATTTCTCGCGCCTTTTCTGTTGGGTTGTTCCACTTGAATTACATGATGACAAGTTGACTGGAGTGACCCAGTAACAAAGCAGGTGGCTAAAGATTTTTTAAACAATTTATGACATAAAACAAAATTGTTTTAGACGCTACTAGTTAATTTGAAACCAAAACGATTCTCGTGCAATGAACATGCAGCATGGGAAGGATAATAATCTTGTTCCCTCTAATTTCTTTGATTGATATATGTGGACTGAGTTTAGCTGGGGAGACCAAACACAGAGGTAAGTTAAGCTTTAAACCGTCAAGCTCGAAGTTGTCGATATCAGCAATGTGAGTATTATAGGAGATTTATTAAAAAAAACATGAATTCCATCTCAGACTAAACTAAGTCGCGATAATCAATCCATTAGTATAAAGCTGTTTTCTGTGAAAATGTACGTTTCAGTAACGATGAATCTCGCCCTTTCCCATTTATAACTCGAAACATCTCACAACACTCACCAAGACATGCGCAGCAGGCAGGACTACAGAAAAAAGACAATCAGAACCACAGACTATGTTTTGCTCAAATAGAATCAAAGTCATTTGCTTCTCGCAAAGGTTTTCTTCATATTTAACTAAGGAAGTACACTCCTGTATTCATTTTCTTCACCAAGGACCAGGGAAGTTTTATGCTAGTAATTTTTATCTGAAATGACTGGTATTTTGACATATGAGAGAGAGGGATTTCTGAGTTTGGCTCTTTCAGGAACTATTTGAAGACAGCTGTAAAAACGTCCATGTTTTTCGGGAAAGACCTATTTTTATTAAGATTACTAGTTTCTATTTCTTATGATCTATTACGTCAACGGTTTATTAGAGAAAACGATTAAAATGGCATAAAATATCTTAGTGAAATCTTGAATACGAATTATTGATGTGAAGCGCACATCCGATTCTATTCCTAGCGGCTTCATACAAGGACCTCTAAGTGCATTTGTTGTACTAGCAAGATTCGACACGATCCAAGAGCGAGGTTGTACAGTTTGCGCAAAAGTCAAAGTCGATTTGGCTCCCTCCGGTCCAAATTGTCAATTATTCTAAAATTGTAAAAAATTGCAATTAAAATTACCAGTCAGTATCAAGATCAAGAACTTAGGTATCTTGTATAAGTTCTAAAAACCTCGTTTGATATCTCTAAATTGTTGAAATTGTTGTCTGAACATGAACGATTTAAATCTGAAAAAGAAAAATTCCATCTGACTAATCCATCGTTAATAAGAATCGCCGCGTAAGTCGAACTAATCAAGACAAAGAGAAGACAATAACAACAAGGGATTGAAGCATTAATTCTCAGAGATATTGAATTTGGACAGCACTAATTATCCTTTCAAAGTTACCCAGTCTGCTTCTGTTAATTAACTGTATTTATTATTAGCTCTTTCTTAATGAATTTCCTGCAGAAACAAAGGAGGGGAGTGTTTACGTTGCCTCTAGAGAAGAAATAACCAAGCGACGACTTTCTGGCCAGGGTATATAATGTTTGTTTGTTATATAGCAGGAATCTTTTAAGAGGAGGTCTCTAGAAGGTAGTTTTCCATGTTTTTTAACAAGTGAATTTTAATATCGCAAGCCGGTGCATTGTTACTTACAAGACAGGGCGTAGCCAGTGGGTCCTGGGGTAACCGTGACACCCCTTTTGTGAGATGATTCTTTAATATCCGTGTTATTCAGCGAAAACGCGGGAATCGAAAGAATCAGCATCCAATAAATCTTCTCCAGCGGTGGATAGTTTTACTTTTAGTAAAACATGGCGTGAATTTGGACATGCTAATGTGGTAAGTACCCTGGGTGTGACCCCCCCCCCCCCACCCTTTTGAAAAAATCCTAGCTACGCCCATCCTGCTTAGAAGACACGTAAGACAATCTACTGTTTATTTAGCTATATCCAAGACCTTGAATCTGCACGTACCCATGACGGGTAAAATCTCCTGGAAGTGGCTAAGAATTACTTCTTTCAACCTCGGAAACATTTAAGAAACAATTTTGATCACATAACTTAATTTTACAAATTTGACTGCAGCAGAAGACAACTTAAACAGGTCGTTCACCTTCTGCTAAGATTTCTCATTTGCATGAATATTGATTGGGGTATTCAATTGAGTCCCTAAAGTGATTTTTCTGTTATATTGTCAGGTGATTTTATAGCACAAAGGTTCGTGAGTGGCTTAAAAAATCAGCCACAACTGAGTTCTGATTAAATCTCAATTAATCTTCTCGACCAGTGTCGTGAATTGATGAAAACATTTTTCTGTCCCTGGATGCAGATGCTTTTCTGGAGATGTGATTGGCTATTTTGATCTGCAGCTTATGTTGTTATTAGTTGCGCTGGATTGGGTTTTAGACCTCGACGGCCTTGTCCATCACAAAAACTAAACTTGTCAATCTTTAGAGATTAAAAGGCAACCAGGAGTCATTATTGAGCGATGGGATGGAATCGATGGCTATCTGATTAAAAAACTACTGGAAAATCCACGTTTTCCTGACATGCCAACATATGTCTCTGCATCACCGACGTTTGAGGAACCACGAGACTGGGGCAACAATTATGGATCACGAATCAGGGGTTACTTTGTGCCTAACCAAACTGGGCCACACGTATTCTTCATAGGTATTACATTTGCAAACAATAAACAATTAGATTACGCTGTAAATAGGTATGACGATGATGATTAAAATTTTTACTATAAGAAGGGTATGATTATAATAGCAATAATAGAATTAAATATTTATCATCATTATTATTATTATTATTATTATTATTATTATTATTATTGTTCTATTACAAATAACGTGGACGGTGAAAAAATCCCATAATATACAGTTTGACCTGATTAAGAGGCCATCTCGCCCTCGCGTTACCGGCAAGTGGCTGCTCTATAGAGGTTCGTCAAAAATCAGCATAATCTTAAGCAGAAACATCATTTTTTATTTTGAAACAAACGCTCCACGGAAGAAACATTACTGTTCCACAATCAATGACCAATTCCTATCTCGGCATGTATTTTTCTTCTTCACATTCTTAAAATGAAGCCAAACTAAGAGTTTCAAGCGGTTGATGGCTTGTTAATAGAGGTGACAACAAATGTAGAACTCTTGTTGGGACGGCTAACAGGTGGCCGCGGCCGATTAATAGAGGTGGAAGATTCATAGAGGTTTAATTTCCCATTCTTAGCTACAATTATTTCGGGACTTTGATTACTGGCTGCTTAATAGAGGTTGGCTGCTTAATAGAGCTTCAGATGTAGTTGCTTTTTGATAGCATTACATTTGTGTGTATTTTCTCGTTTTGTATTATTGATTTTACTTTTTCTTTCACATTTTCTTCAAGAAAGCGATAATGAAGGCCAGCTATTTCTCAGTACCACACTTGACCCAGACAAAAAGATATTAATCTGCAAAGTTCAAAAAGACCACGAGTCACTACCGCTGCAGTTCAAAAAGTAAGACGTCCAGTCTGGCTTTTTAGTATAAAGGGACCTCTCTAATTTCTTTCTCTTTTTTCTTTTCCTTTTTTTTTCCATTTAGCGTTTTACCAGTAGGCGTAAAACTGGCAAACGACGCTTGACATAAATTTGCATCATAAACATAGTTTGTAAAAATGAAGTTGATATAACAAAATACTGTCAAAACAGTAATTTATGATGAAGCTTCTTTTACAGTCGAACCAGGTCATGCGTACCCTTAAGATTCCATTAATGAATTTATTATTGGAAAGTTGAACCCTTTGGTAGTTATAGATTTCAGATTCATTTCTGCATTCTTGCATGCGTAATGAGCCGTGAATTCACACGCGAGGAGGTTATGAAATTTCTACCAGGTCAGTTTCGCTCAATTGATGTAAAAATGTCTTCGAAGCAATTTTATCCACTCAAAGATTTTCAATCTGACCAAATACAGAGAAGTTCTAGTAAAATATTTACTGCTCATAACGCATGCAGGAATGCCGATTTGAATTTGACACTAGTTACGGGAGGGACTAACGGATTTATTTTTCAACTAATCAGATCATTATGATTAATACAATCTTGGGGGGAACGCTTGACCTGTGCCTTGACTTTAATTAGAGTTAAATGCTCCCTCTCCAAAATAGATAAAAGCATTTGCCCCTTTTTGAATCGTCTACTTGCTGAGTTACATTCCTTATACATTATTGCATGCAATATGGAGGTTGAAAACACATGCATTGCATGCACTTAGAAAGTTAATTTGAATAAATTAGGGAGTTGATTTCGAATTTCTGGACTGTTAAGGTACCCCGAACAGAAGTCCTACCCAATCAGCTTGATAAAAGGTTCTTATTACTACATCGAGGCACTTCATAAGGAACAGTATGGCAATGATTCCTTGGCAGCCGCCGTACAAACACCTGATAACAAAACCTATGCACCCATCCCTTCCCAGTTCCTGTGGACAGCCTCGCCAGTTGAAAACCCAGGTATACACCCCATAGAACTAACCGTGTTTCTATCGATACCAAAGAACAATTTAGTACTTAAAGCATTAAAAACTTTATCTGAGGAAACCGATAATACATAACCATCACCCTACACGCAACTTTCCCACGCATTTCAAGTAGACAAGCAGGCATTAATTGTAGCTCCATATTTTTCTTGTTTTCACTTTAACGAAGAAATGTAATACGTTATTATAAATATTTTGCCGAAACAGCCCAAGCAATTTATCCTTACACGACAACGATTCCATTTTTGCCAAAATCTTACTTGTGGAAGCAAAGTTTTGTCAGTTAACTCAGTCACAAGTCTTACCTTTCGTTCTTCCTGTCTAATAGTACCTTCCATTGTTTTCTTTCCAGTGAACGTAGCGAAGGGTTCGTCCTATATTCTCTTAAAAATAGCAGCAAAGGCCGGAGCCAAGGCTGGTGCTTCTCTTGGGATAGCTCAAGCCCAAAAAAGTGGAGCAGAGGCAGGGGCAGAGGCAGGTGCTGAAGCCGGTGCCAAGGCTGGAGCTGAAGCAGCAGCTCAAGCTGCAACTAAGGCTGCAACAGAAGTGGCCACCAAAACACTGAAAGAGGCCTTGCTCAAACTGACAAAACTAAGCAAACCGGTGAGTGTTTCTGATATGACGCCGTCCTTCAAACAAGCCATATAATTGCTATATTTGCCACTGTTTCCCACTTGGATGAATATTATTTAACAATTAAAGTGTCGTTTTTAACTTGCAGTCCCACTGGAACTGAAAATGTTACTTTCTTAAAGGTACGGCGCTTGATTTGTCAGCGGACTGGAATTGTCATCCGGAGGCCAGAGATCAAACGTTATTCTGACCACTAGCTTACGATTGGCTTTTTACTCACGGTCCTAAAACAGAACTCCTTGTCTTCCCTTGCAAAGAGCCAACTGATCAGCTTCCAACCAGTGATGGATAATTTTCTGCCCTCTTTGAAATGATAGGGTCGTTTATTTAAACGAAGTCTAACTTAGAACGCGGTTTAGAAAATCTTTGGACCTCCAGATCTCCCCATAGTGGGTTTTTTAAAGAAGACAAATGCTTTTCTAGTCTACGCCATACGCTTTCATGAAACTGTTCACGATAAATGGTGTTAACATAAAAGCGTTTTGCAAACTGGAAACGGCTTGGGACGCGGTTTTGTTAAACACCGGCTAAACTCCGTTTAAATATCTGGCCCATAAAGTTTACTGATTGTCTTTTTTTTTAAATCACTGATTCGCCCGACCCAGACACTGTAGCCTCGCGCTATAACCCTGGTTTGCACTTGACGTCACGGTCAGCATGTTGGTGATCAAGAACAAATTGGCATTTGTCTCTGCTGGGAAATAAACTCCATTTTCATGTACATTTTCGAAAAAAAGTATCGTATTGACTACCTACGTGGCCGCCTTGTCACGTGCTTACAAACCAAGAATATTTCTCATATTTTTGTTTATCAGGTATTCAATATCTACACGGCAAACGGAAGTGTGATTTCTCGTCCAGTTGCATCTTCCAAACCTGGAAGTGAAATAGGTGCTACGACGGCGGAAGGTAACATTAGTGGCCAAATTGCTCAAACTGGCCAAACTGGACTAACGGGAGCACACAAGGGAGTTGAAGTAGAGGCGTCAAGCCATGTTGGCAAAATCCGTGGTTCTTTTTCCTACAACCCAGAAAAACCATTTTACATTTTCCCAGGCAGCTCTCCTAACGTCCATATTAGAGCAACACATCATCAGTTTCTGGACCAACGGGGATACGCCCGAGTAAGTAAGTTGAAAGAAAAAGTCCAAACCTAAGATTCAGGAGGGTTGTTGGAGGGGATGCTTCGGATCCTCTGACATTTTCCACTCCGACAAGAAATTTCAAATAAAGTTATTGACTAGTTGCTCTGAATATAAGGGTGTTTATAGTTGAAGTTTACTAGAAATTTAAAAAAGTCTTTGACGGTGAAGAAAATTGAAAATGATAATCTGACAGTATATTTGTAGCGAAGAACCGATGCATCTGAGACCCTTAAATAAACTATATTCCTGAATCCTCCTCTGTAAAACCTCTGCACAAAGTTCTTGTTAATTAATTTGTGGCCTTGCAAACAGCCTGAAGAAAATTGCTGAGCAAATTTTAGCTAACCAAATCGAGATAATCATTTGCTTTTCCAATTTTCCTCTCGAAGTTCCTGGTTGTAGGTAAGTACAAATACTGTGTGAATGTGGCTTTCATCATGCGAAGGAAATTTAATTGGACAAGAAAAACTGCAGAATTCAATCAAGGCCTTTTTAAACGGTTAAACTTGAAAAAAAAAATGTGCAGAAGCTATTAAAATTTTAATGGTAGAAAACCTATATTATTTAAGTCTAATTCTTAGCTTAGATGCATTCTCTTTTAGTTCTGAAAACTGCATTACCATCCGAAAGAAAACGTTGCGTGATTATATTCTGTAATGAGAGAGAGAGAGTGCTGCCTAAAAATGATATTAATTAAATCGTTTTCACTGTGACTGTGGCGTTGTGTAGTCTTACCACGATAATTTACTTTTCCTTACAAATGTAGGTGTACGAACGGTCAATTTTTCTAATATTTTGTTTTATAACTTGAAATCCATCCGATTTTTTGTCACAGTTGTACATGGAGGTCTTTATGTTTTCCACTCATTGGACGTTCCTGCAAATCAGAATCCAGTAGAAAATCTCTGCTGGCGAATCACCAACGGGAAACTGGAAATGACCCAAAACTGCCAGGTTGTTTCTGTAGTTAATGAGATAATAACCTATCTGACCGTGGTTGGTTGTTAAAAGGTATATGGTGGGTAGAGATAAGCTGCGTGGACAGCTATTCCTTTACCAATGTTGAAGACTCGTCAGCATGGTTGGAATTCCTTTTGCATTCAGATTCGATTCGTAGTACACGGCTGGATCGATGATCGCTTTTTTAGGGGTAGGAAGGGAAAGGTAGGGTAATATCAATCATGATGATGATGAAAATGATGGTGATGATGATGGCGGTGGGGCTAACTGTAACGTAGATTAGTAAATACGTTGTGAAGAAAATTTTTTAAATTGGATTGAACTGAATAATTAGTTTATTTACATCTACTTGGATTTTGGAAACCGGGTTAGCAAACATTTTATACTTTCTCTCAACTTCCCATGCCTTTGCACTTTTAATGCGTTGTTTGCTAATGTTTCAATTTTTTTCTCTGTTATTTCTTGGTTACGAATTTGTGTAGAAGTGGCTGTAGACAGAATCTCGCGAATTTCTATCTAACCCCTCCCCCCTCCTTTTCCCCCTCTTTGGTCTTTTCCCGTTCCTAACCACAATCTTTTCTCCAACACAAGTGACAGTAATTTGAAATCAGTGCGCGCCTAAAGCTGGTTTTGGTGCTGCCTAGCAGTTTATATTTCGTTGTATGTCAGCTTGAGAAACGTTTCTCGGAGAGCATTATCTAAAGCTCTGAGATGGGACAAATTTAATACGATTCGCAGAGTCTGCATCGTCCAATACAGTACCGTATTCTCGTTTCATTTGGCTAAATGGATCAATGAACCTGTTCCGGGCTAAAACAGAAAGGTACGATATAGTTCGCTTTTTTAAGTCTTTGACCTCGGAAACAGGGTTCTAGCTAAGAGTCAAATCTATTACACGAGAGCAAAATTGCTGATGAACTTTGACGTGGGCCCAAACTTTATTCTCGTGTGAAAACAGGGTCTATGCTAATCTGCCGACCGTGTGACTTTACATCCGGGAACTTGAATAGGACCGTGAGTGTAAGAGAAAAGTCTAGGGGCGTTTATCCGCCAAAAGGCTGAGTTTTTCCAAGTTATTTGATGATATTTCGCTAGTGTTAAACGTGAAAAGTTTATGCGTGGTTGTGGATAGTCTTATCAGTACAGCGAAAGTGTATGGTTGTGGTTTTTCCGGATGTAGTTGACAGGCAAACTTAGGCATGTGGTTTCTTGGTTAAGTTGTTGCACCAAAATATTCTGTACCAGCCACAAAAACACTTCGTCGGTGTTTAGCTTAGGTGATTGTGCCTTGGAAACCAATTCTCGAATCAGGAAAATTGGATCTAGGTCTAGTTTGACATAGTTTAATCGGGCTTTTGGCTTTGAAATAAACAAACCAAAGGCCGGTTTTTGCAGATCAGGTTATAACTTAAACTTTCTAGACTGAAATGACACCGGTTTGAAACTTCACGGAGTTCAATTACTGAATAAAATTGCTCTAAAATTTGCGATCTTTTAAATCTGGACTAGGTGAAATGGTTCCAGTGACCGCTAACTCACTGCTCGGTGTCAGTTAAAGGCTTTCAATCGGCCTTTGAATGATTTTTCATTGTTTTAAATTGCCAAGGAGTAGAATAAGTTAATTTTTCGCTAACCCGGTTTTCAAAAATTCAGGTATACTTATATCATTGCAATTGATGGATAGGTTTTCATCGCCCACATCCCCGGATTTATGAAGGGAACTGGAGAATTTCAGACAATATCATTTGAGTCAGCATGTGCCCCTGGTCACTATATTCGACAAAAGAACTACAAATTTGTCTTGGGAACAAAAGGAGACCCAAAATTTGGTAAGTGACATTCAAAGATGCCAAAGCACTTCAAAACTTTAAGATCATTCTTTGATTGCAATAACGGGAGAAATTTTCAAGGCCTTTTTGCCACAATTTTTAAAAAAAGGCAAGGGCATGATAGAGGAGAAATTGCGCCATCATTTTGCTTCCTGCTCTCGACTACGTAAAAAGGACAAAAAAATTTCAATAGTAATATTTTGTAAGGAAATCTTATTTTATATTTTGCTTGTTGAATCCGGAATCGTGGGCTTTGGAATCCGGAGTACAGCTCAAGGAATCCGGAATCCAAGTTCCACTGCTTAAGTCCAGAATCCAGTACCTGCAATTTATTAGAATGCACGACGTGGAATCCAGAATCCGAGACTGTCTAGGATTCCTTTACATGGGTCGATACTGTAAACTGTAGTAAATATGCTCATTACTTTGACTCTCAGATTTTGATGCCAGTGCAGCCTTCCACCAGGTATTTTCATTGCCAGGAACATTTCAGTTCAGCCTAATGAGAAAGGGATGGTATATTTGCCATAGCAAGGACACGGAGTATCACAGAGTGGATGTAGTCACAGACTTCAACATGGCGTCCATGCAATGGTTTAGGCGATGCTCATTTGCCTTAAGACCTATTAAAGATGGAGAGGATCAATTGATGAATTGTTTCAACATGGTTACAACGCCAGAGCCTCCTGTGACTCACGCAACTTCATCAAAACCAACCAGCCGTCCCTCAATAAGACCAACGACAAGTCACAAGCCTAAAGGTAATCAGCATAATCCTTTATTGGTAGAAATGAAGGCTTTTCGTAATGGCAGAGCTCACTCTTCTGGCTTTCATTGATATTACCATAAATTGTCGCTTATAAGCCCTTGGCTTATACATCTTCGTCTTAAGTTTTACGAGGGCTTTATAAACGGAGGGCCTTTTATCCGCGGAGGGGGTTTATAACCGGAAAAGGCATCATTTTTTCAAATGATGCCTACACCCTGACAAGTGCGAGCACACTTCATACAGTTTAATTAATCGCCCCTGCCCATGTAAGGTAATCCAAGACAGACTTGGACTCAGACTGGATTCCTCGCTCTGAATTCCGGATTCCTAGCCAGTGGTACTTGCTTTCTAGATTCTAACTGTTAGCGGAATACCTAAATCTGGATTACCTTAAGTGGGCGCAAGTTTTATCTGTGACTTCAGAGAATTAGGGTCAATATTATACATTGTGGATGTAAGAAAAAGATGAGATAATCTTAACTAGAAGAAAATAAGCTTAAGGATGTTGTAAGTAGTCAAACAAACAGAATCGGAATTGAGCCCATGAATTCCGGATGACCTGTTGGACACACGTTCACGAGTTTGCTCCTGTTCGAGCTACTACAAATGATTTTTCGAAAATTCTCGTTGTAAACTTTCATTGCGTACAGTTTTGCTGCATACATAAAAGTGACGCGTACGCTGCTCATGGTTTTTTCGCTTTTTAGAGGGTTTTTGAGTACGTATTCAAACCGAAAATTTCCATCGAATTTGCTTAATTTCAGGTCCTTGCGCATACTTCCACTTTATCAACACGGTTGATATACCCATCATCCTATATTCCAGTCTCAAACCAGAAGGTTATTTGGTCACAGGACACGAGTTAGATCTTCATTACGTTATAAAAAAAGGTCGAGCGGTAGGTTTTAAAGAGATGCGGAAGAAATCAAGGGTTTCAGGTGATCAAGGAGAGAATGCTTCCCAGGTAAGATCTGGTAAAAAAAAAGGTCAGTTTACTCAAAAGTAGACATGCCATTGTTATTTCAAAATTTTCACTAGGTGAACACTATATGGCCGTAAAAATACAAGGACCTAATGTGCCAGGGTTGGGTTTGCAAAGATGATTTGACCTCCAATGATGAACTCTCAAGGTTTCCTCTCCGTCCTCACCCCTCAGGAGTGCCACAATGCAACCGAAATTTTATCAGCCTGTTTTTTTTTATTTCTCAAAAAAAGTATCAGTCCACCGAAAACGAAATCGATCGCTTAAGAGTGACAAATGATACTCGAGTGTCTGCCTTCTTTGTTTTCTCGATGTTATTAAGGTAACGGAGATTCTATGTAGCTTATTTTTAAACTAACATATTTGGCCGCTACCGAAATAAGTTATCAATACTCCTTGCGCTAATTTGCAGGACATGGATGTACCAGGAAAAAATCAACATCTTTACCTTGACGAGGCTTCAGCCAAGCTATCGGGAGGTCAAATAATTACGTTTTGGGCTAAAGATCCAACCGGAAAACGTGAAGTCTTCATTGATGGAAAAAAGATAATATATGTCATTCCCGGTCTTGACTGTGATCCTTCTATTGAAGTCACACTGACTTCGAGGCCCAAGAAACGTATGGCTACTCGTTTAACATTCCTTAGCCCTTATTTAACAACACTGTTATGCAATTTAGTAAGCAGACTTAAGGCTGTATTGAATAATCTCCTCTATATACTTTTAAGACATGATTTTATTTTAGAGTTTTTTTTGTTTGTTTGTTTCTGTTGTTCTTTTTCTATTGGTCTAACTGTATTGCTCATACTATGGGTTATTTAAACTTGCGCTATAAAGAATTAATTTCGATGTCCCTTTTTCTCAGGCACGTCAACAACGAAGCCAACGACCTCTACACAATCACCACCTTCAACAACTCATGTTACAGCATCACCAGTTCCTCCAACCTTCCCTCCCTCCCCTCCTCCTCCTCCTCCTCCTCCTTCTCCGCCCTCACAACCACCTCCTCCTCCTCCACCACCACCGCCACCACCTACTACTATCCGACCACCACCTACTACTACTCGACCACCACCACCTCCAACCTTCCCTCCCTCCCCTCCTCCTCCTCCTCCTCCACCCGCCCCGCCACCACCTCCACCACCACCGCCACCACCTACTACTATCCGACCACCACCTACTACTACTCGACCACCACCACCACCACCTCCTCCACCACTTGAACCCCTTCCCCCTTCTCCACCTCCACCCTTTCCTCCATCGCCTGCACCTCCTCTCCCCCTCCCCCACCCCCTGCTTTACCTTCTACACCTACACCTTTGCCTCCTCCTATTCCTCCTCCTTCTTCTACTCCCGCCTCTACGCCATGTTCTCCACGATTGCCACCAAAATCGCATTACACTACAACAGTGCGACCCTGCTCACCCACGAAACCAGTCATGCCACCGCCACAACCGTCTATCCCAACCTTACCTCCCAAGACTCAGCCTCCTGTGCCAGCACCTACCTCGGCACCATCCGTGACAACACCAACCACTCTACCAGTAACACTTCCAACTTGCGGTCCTAATACAACTAGGGCCCCTTTCTTGACAACAACAATTCGACCGTGCAAACCAACCACTAAGCCTCAATATACCACACTTCCACCCTGTCCTCCCAATCCTAACAACTTTCCCCCGGGACCTCCACCTTGCAAACCTTCCCTTAGCTCTCCCTCTCCCGTTCCAAAGCCAACTCCCCCTCCACTTTCTCCTCCATCATGTTCATCACCAGGAAAACCTTCAACACCTGGGTTAGTCCCTCCTTGTCCTCCACCACCGCCGGTTTCTACCAAACCACCAAAAATAGTCACAGTTACCTTACCAACACTACCTCCCGTACAAACCCCGCCTTTGATTTCAGCTCCTGGTAAGGTTCGATTTATCTTAAGAAAATTCTTATACATCCGCATAAAATTCACAATTCTACGTATATATATTGACGAGTTGAAAATCTTTGTGCATGTGGGACTTTTTCCGGATTTTTTTTAGGCCCTTGGCGATAGGGGCTTGGTTGCGACCAAATATAATTTTTAAAGCTTTCTTCTTGCCTGAATTGACCAGTACTAAGGGTTGAAATTAAGACAATTGCAGGAAATACTTTATCAATATTTTTTATATTCTCTTTCTTCTAAAGAAATAAAATTGATTGATAATATAATTTCAAAGCATAAGAAGAACTCTCTTTAAAACACCAATATTACCCATTGGTTAATTTCTTAGAGAAGTTGGTTGCTCTGAGAGTTTCATTTCGCGTTCAATTAAAGAATATCGTCCGGTATCGCTTACAGACTCGTATTTGATGCTAGTTCTAGAACTTTTCTGCAGGTAAGCTCAAGATCAAAACTTCTTATGTCCTTTAGGGCCAGCAGCAAACATCAGAAAGAGCCTCTCCAGTCGAAACTTGTGATGTATGTGTTCGTGGCCAGCATGTTCACGTAGTCAGTCTGAGAAAATCCAATCGATCTTGAGAACGAAATGAGCGGCACATTAATTGTGTACCGTTCTATTTTTTTTCTTACGTAGGCTGTATGCCCACCCATGGAGGGACTTCGCACGGTGCTTGCTGTATGTTTCCGTTTATCTATAACGGAACTCTACAACACCGATGCACAAGAGCCGAACGCGGCTATCGCTGGTGTTCTACCACTGTTAATTATGACTCAGATAAACAGTGGGGATTCTGTACTTCCTGTTTTTTGTGCTATGGCGGCAACTCAAATGGGAACTGTTGTCATTTTCCTTTCAAATATGGCGGGAAAATGTATACGACCTGCACCACTCAGGATGATACCAAGCCATGGTGTGCCACCACTTACGACTACGATGTTGATAAACAATGGGGTTACTGTGGAGGTGGGAAAAAGTCTCTTAATTAACACAACAAGCTGCTATATAGCTCATATATAGCTCCTATAAATATATCACGTTAACGTCACTTCGAAGCCCTTTTACGATGTTTCTCAGAGAAGGGCGTCATAGGATTGTTTCATGTAATTTAATTTTCTTCGTGTCATCGCTAACAGCAGCCTCTTAGGTTACTCTCACACGGAAAAGGCTATCCGCTATAGTATGGACACCCATGCGATATGTGACTCTTCACTTTAGACATCAGCGCAGCGCAGTCTCTCAGTGTCAGAAATCGCACCAAAATCATCGTTATTTGTGTGAACAGAAGCCCTTATCCGGTACGGTTCTTGTGCTAGCACAAAAGCTACCCGGTAGAGAGTGAACATAGCTTCGTTGACTAATTAACAATTATTCCTCTCGCCCGCATGGGCTCTGAGTCCATAGCCCAGGAGGGCGAAGGCCGAATGCGCTATGACTCAGAGGCCATGAGGGCGAGAGGAATAATTGTTTTAGTAAAATCCAACTAGTTGTTCGGAAATGTCGAGACAAAACAACTTTTAATTAGCTAGTTAAAGGTAGACTTTGATCCTTTTTTGCCGCCAAAAAGCCGGCGTTTTTCGCTACTAGTGGGCTATAACACATAGCCTAGTAGTAGCTCAACTAATCAGAACGCAGCATTGATAATAGACCCCTAGTTGGATTTACTAATTCACGTTAGTCCTGTACAAGATAGTTTTAAAAAATTAAAATTAAAGATTTAATTATTTTCTTTGTTTTTTCTTTACATTTCTCTTTGTTTACAAGAACGATTTATACCAATAATTCTCATTTCCATTTAGGCGATGCCCCTGGCTCTGTTCCTCAGCCAAAGATTACTTTCCCACCATGCACCCCTGACTGTGATAATAAATGTGTCGACATGTGTCCAGACTACTGTTGTGTAAAAGGAATGATAAGAAAAGAAACTGGACAAACAGCTGAGATTGTTCATTCCTCCCAGGTAATAATAGGCATAAAAGTTGTCGTTAAAAGAATTAGCCAAAAGAGAGGTCAAGGAAAGGTATTTTTGTGTGACACAGCCCTCTCCCATTTTGTATGTCTTGATGCTACCAACGCTTGATTACTCTTATAGAGACGATTTGCTCCGCCACCAGCACGCCCCTTTCAGTTAACGTTTATCTCATCGTGTTTAAATCACGAAGGCTATTTTGGAGGAGACTTCTGCATTTTTAAGTTCTAGATTAAAATGAACAGGGCACTAAATGAGTTATATTCTAGCATTAAAGAAGGCAAAAGTTTTTGCCGAAACGTTTTTGCTTATTTCAAAATCCTTGAGTTTATGATATTCTTATGCGACTCGAGATTCCCGCTGTCCAGAAGTCTTTAATTTTCTTTTTCCAGACTTACCAACTACCGCAAACTCAGAAGATATATTCCTCTTGTCCAATCATCTGCGCCACAACCTGTGTCCCGGATTGCCCAATGCGTTGTTGTAAACATCCTCTTCCCTATGAAAACCCATCTGTTTCACCAGTTTACTGTACCCAGACCTGTTCCAGCTTCTGTTCCAGCTCCTGCCCAGCAGAATGTTGCAAAAATGCGCCTCAAGCTTGGACTCGAACATTTCCATCGTTCAGCCTCACCAAACTTTGCCCAGCTGATTGTGACTCTACGAACTGCTTTGCTAAATGTCCACCTCAGTGTTGCCGGGAAAAAATAGATAAATCAAAAAAGTATCTTTCACTTGAAGATTTAAGCCAAAGTCCATCAGCAATGATCGCTGTTAGATCGAAATTAGTTTGTTCAGCTACGTGTTACGACGTTTGCTCCAAAGAATGCGCCGAACACTGTTGCAGAATTGGTAGTGAAAGAGACGTTCCCAAGAATAAACGTCCTCAAGTTCCTGATCATGGTAATACAATGTTGGCGCATTAAGGCATAGTCATCCTAACAGATATAATCAACTCTCTCTTAACGGACACCTCTGTAAGACACACACCTCGCTGAAACGGACACTTAGAGTTGCTGTGCATTTCTTTGATTCCTTCTTTTAGTTGTCGTTCTATAAGAAAAACATCTCTCTGAGACGGACACATAATGCAAATCTCAAAGAATCCGTCTCACAGACTTATTTACTGCAAATGCTCAGTTTGAATTGCGTTTAAACATTCTTTAATTTGCCTTTCAGAATGTAAAAATGGTGTTTCTACAACTGGAGGTAATGCCAGGGGAGCTTGCTGTAAATTCCCCTTCATCTATAAAGGCGTGGCTCACTGGACATGCACAAATGAAAATGCTGCCAAGGAATGGTGTTCTGTGACAAAAGTGTTTGACATCAACAGAAAGTGGGGTTACTGTGGATGGTAAGTAAGCAAAGTGTGGAGGTTAAAAATGATAATTAACAAAGAGAGAGAGTGTCTTTGTAACTCATCCGAGTATACTTACTCAGTACTTCACGTTTTACATGCTTTTTCTCGCCTTAATCGTGTTCTGGTGCTTTCGTATTCTTTGTAACAGTTTCAAATGACAACAGAGAGGTGAAAAAGTTGTTCTTTTCTTTCCTCATTTGGTTTGTTTTAATTAATTATTTCATCAAACTGTTCATAAGAAAAAAAACACAAACACATGGAATTGAAAAAGGTGTAATCATATATACAACATGACACATGACAATGATGGAAGAGATTAATTGCGACCTCTCTATCCGGGTCAGTGCCTCGTCAAGCGCAGCCTGAAGTTGATTTCATATCTAACCCTCTGTTACTTGAAAAGTCACTATATGTGGGATCGGAATCACAGGGGAACTTTGCGGGTGGATCAAGAATTTAGCTCAAAATATTAATGTCAGTGACTGTCGTTCCAGCTTACTCCGAGGCACATTCGTGTTCCTCAAGAATCTGTGCTTGCATTTGGTCCACCTTTTTACCATATTATTACAATTATCTGACGAACATTTTTGGTGACTGTGATGTTTAACCTCATATGTATGCTGACAACACGAACCATTCGTCATAATCCTACCATGATGGCTACTTTTCTCAGTTTTACTCTGAAAAAACTTACTGACTGGTAAATACAATTTTCTAAACCCACATCCAGGCAAAAAGGTCCAGGGTTTATGGTTCTAAAAGACACGCTTCTCAGTGCTTTAGATAGTGTTAAAATAGATTGTATCCCGTCATAGAAATTAACCAAACACAGGTACTATTAATTTCTAAAGCAAATCTCAACATCATTCTTTTTCATTGTTTTTTGTTTTTGTTTTCAGAGACGGCCAAATAAAGTCGATCACTAAGATGCACAATGATATTATTATTATCGAAGGGAAGGTGCTAATACTGTTTTCCGCTATCGGCCTGTGTTTCCCCTGTACATATTACCTTCTAAAACAGGCCGAAATGGTAAAGATCTCTAGTCAAGTAAATTCTGCAGTAACCCTGCAACACTATGCGCTTGAAAAACCGTTGTGAAAGGGAGAACTAAGTGGATATGAAAACGTATCATTTAATGATACATCAGGGCATTTTAGGGCAACACCTTTGTATTTACCAACGACACAAACACACTAAAGAACAAAATACAATACTTGTCTAGTTTTCATTTCCTTGTATACCAGGACCCTTAAAACAAACCTAAATTTTGCAGAAATAAGAATTTCTAGTCGTAATGTATTAGACGACATTTCTTGTAAAGAGACAAACCAAAATCACTTGTAATAAAGGTTTGCCTTTTGTGTGCTATTACACTGCAGAGTAACACCGTGATTCAATAACTCAAACTGTTCTCATTAAATGTTTGTTATTTTGAATAATATGATTATCTGCCTGAAATATGTACTTCAGGTCTTTTCTCAAAGGTTTAACCTTAAGTGTCCAGGGTCTGTTATAACGGCCCAAAATTCACCCATTC